CCCCAAAACCCCAAAACCCCGCATAACTGAATTCTTGAATGATTTTATGAAATTAAGTTAGAATTACTTTGGTGTTATTAATTAGTCATTATTCTTGCCAGTATATGGATTCAATCTACTTCATCTTCTTTATTATTACATTCATGGTTTTCATTATTTAGATTGTACTTTATTAACTCATTTTCCCGCTTAATTTACTAGTTCTTAGTTGCAAGGCTAATCAACTCATTCATACTGACTAATTCCTCCAGATTCAAACCTTAGACCATATCATCTCCTAGATCAGGTCTCTTCACATTCTTATAAGCTTGATCATACTTCTTATTCTCATTGCCTCCTAGCGTGAATCTTTCAAACGCATTAGCTTGCTACTCCATCTGATTCACTGCTTTGTTCACTTCGTAAGCCTTTGCAGAATCAATGTGAAACCTCAGTTTGTTATTCATCCAGCTTGCATTGTCCTCTCTTACCTCCTTGGATTTAATCTTAGACGAAAAGTCATTAAGCTTTGCCAAGGTCTCATTCTCACGGTTCTTAGTCATCTTCTACTGTCTAATGTACTTCTGCCGCTGCAGGTCAAGTGCAGATACACGAGCCTACACTTCTAGGTTTTACTCATCCAGCAGGGTACCAATCTTGTTTTAATTGAACTTAAGAAGTTCAAAGCGCATCTTGTTATATTCCTCTCTTCTCTTTTCCAATGCTTTCTGCTCCTCTTCTGTGGGTCCCTTGTCTAAATTAGAATAGCTATCATCACTTGAAGAGCTATCATCTTCTTTACTAGATGATCTCTTGTAATGGTTTGAAGAGGCCATAATACGTCTGGCTGGGCCTTTTCTCGTCTTCTCAGCTGCTCTTTTCAGTGCTCGTGAAGTAGGTGATGCATCTTATGATCTAGATCTGGATCTCTTTCGCCTCTTATCCTCTTTCTCAATCTTAGCCAGTTCTTTATTAAGATTGACTGGCTTACTTTGATGAGCACTCATTAGTTATTAAGTCTTAAGGTGTCCTGCCACTTTATCAGTTTTCATATGATCCATCTCATCTTAATTTTAATTTATTTCTACCATATTTGATTGCTACTTTTCCTTGATATTCTATAAAAGCTGACTCTTTGACTTTTCCAGCTACTCTTTTCTGCGCTTTTACTCGTCTAACTACTCCTAGGAGATAGCAGTTTATTTGGAAAGCTAACTATCATTATGAAGCACATCATGCGAGGACTTCATCTTATTTTGGCGGAATTTACTGACTTAAGCTGGCTCTTTTTCTTCGAAATCTTCCTCAAAAGATAGTAGATTCTTATTCTTAATCACATTAGCTTCTATCTTTGCTGCTGGGACTTTGAATTTCCCTTTATTGCTAGACTATTTAGACTATTCATCTGATTTCATTCTTTCCTCGTTCCCTTCATATTTATCACTCAAGGTCAGGTTACGAGGTACGATCTCCGAGAAAGGGTTTAAAGTGATTTCAACTCTTTTAATCATTGGGATAGGATCGCATATTGGACGGTTAGATTTAGGGTTAGTTTCCAATTCACTGATCTTCAGCAAGTTATATATTGTATTGCCCTCAACTTTGCCAAAGATAGTGTGCTTGTTGTCAAGCCACACACAGGCATCAACAGTCATAAAGAACTGACTTTGATTTGTATTAGGAGAGTTCTTGTTTGCCATAGCTACAATGCCTCTATGAGAAAACTTTAAACGAGAGTGGAATTCATCTGAAAATTCCTTCCCATATATTGATGTACCTCCCTAGCCAGCGCCTGTGGGATCTCCTCCCTAAACCATAAACTATTTCATGATTCTGTGGAAAATGGTATTATCATAATAGCCTTCCATACAAAGCTAGATAAAATTCCTGCAAGTCCTGGGTGTCTCATTAGCCCAAAGTTCTATTTCAATATCACCTGAATAGAGGTTAAGCAATTTAAGACGATACCATAATTAGTTTTAAGAATGACCTTTCCAGAGGTGGGTGGTTCCTAGAAATATACATTTGACATTTTGATTTTAATATAACTTTATAATTTATTATCTTAACTACATATTTATAATTCTTCATGGGGTTTTGGGGTTTTGGGGTTTTGGGG